CTTTACCATGTGATCAGCTGCGTCCAATCACAGCTGATCACATGTAAACAAACATGTAGTTTATCGGCAGTCCTTTTTTCACATGCTGTGGCTGTGTGAGGAAAAGAGAGCCGACAGCTGGCAAGGCTGTCAGTACATGTTTTACACTGATAATCAGTGCAGCCTCACCAATGCCCATCAATGCTGCCTCACCAGTGCCGCCTCACCAGTGCCCAGTGCCGCCTCCTCCACCAGTGTATCAGTGCCGCCTCACCAGTGCCCATCACTGCAGCTTCACCAGTGCCCATCAATGCTGCCTCACCAGTGCCCATCAGTGCCGCCTCACCAGTGCCGCCTCACCAGTGCCCAGTGCCGCCTCACCAGTGCCAGTGCCGCCTCACCAGTGCCCATCACTGCATCAGCCTCACCAGTGCCCATCAGTGTCCCTCACCAGTGTCTATCAGTGCCCTCACCATGCCCATCACTGCAGCTTCACCAGTGCAGCCTCACCAGTGTCCATCAGTGTCACCTCACCAGTGCCCATCAGTGCCCCCTATCTGTGCCCATCAGTGCTGCCTATTGGTGCCCATCAGTGCAGCCTCACCAATGCCACTCTTATTTGCTACATTTTATAACAGAAAATGAAAAAAAAAAAAAAAAAAACCTTTTTAATCAATCAAAATTTGCAGGCTTTTTTTGTTTGTTTAGCAAAAAATAAAAAACCCCAGTGGACTGAATACCACCAAAAGAAAGCTCCATCTGTCTCAAAAAAAAGATAAAACTTTTATATTGGTACAGTGTTGCATGACAGTGCAATTGTCATTCAAAGTGCAACAAAGCTGAAAATCGGTCTGGGCAGGAAGAAGGTGAAAGTGCCCAGTATTAAAGTGGTTAAAGTAAAGACAAAATTATTTTGTATTGGATAAACTAAGGAAGGGTTATAACCTATCAGTTTTTTTTTTTTTTTTTTGCAGTCTGTGTCCTATTTGGGAGATTTCCCCTAACTTCCCATCCCACAGCCAAAACAAGAAGTGAAAAATCTCTATAAATTCATGGAATACATTGTCGTTACCAGAACTAGTGGTTAGCACTTCCGCCTGGCAGTACTAGGGTCATTGGTTTGAATCCCAGCCACAGCACCACCTGCCTGGAGTTTGCATGTTCTCCCTGTGCCTGTGTGGGTTTCCTCCGGGTACTCCGGTTTCCTCCCACACTCCAAAGACTTGCTGGAAGGTTAATTATAAATATAAGAAACAACAACCATTGCAAGGCTGAGGCAATATATAACATTAACAGTTACTATCATGTACTCCAAAGACATGCTGGTAGGTTAATTGGATCCTGTCTGAATTGGCCCTAGTATGTGTATGAATGAATGTGAGTTAGGGACCTTAGATTGTACACCCCTTGAGGGTTAGGGACTGATGTGAATGTACAATATATATGTGAAGCACTGCGTAAATTAAGTATATATAAGTACCTGAAATAAATAAATAAATAATAGTGTCCCCATTGGATGATTTACCTTCCATTGTCTGGTGCAGGGGCGGACTGACAACTCATGGGACCCCGAGGCAATAGGGGATCACGGGGAATCAAACCACACCCAAAAAAGCCTATGAAAGGTACCAGGGGCATCTCATGGGGCCCCCTACTGACCCAGCGTTCCCAAATGGTCAGTCCGCCCCTGGTCTGGTGGCAACCAATAATTTGGAATTTTCTGTCACTTTCATTCTAGGTCAGTGGTTCTTAACCTGTGGTCGCGACCCCTTTGGGGGTCAAACGACCCTTTCACAGGGGTCCCCTAAGACCATCAGAAAACACATATTTCTGATGTGTAAAGAGCAGCTACTGTGTAGAAAGCAGCTACTCTGTTAAAAGCAGCTACTGTGTTGAAAGCAGCAGTATTGGAGGTAAAACGACACTCATGAATTATAATTACTGGGTAAATAATTTTATGGTTGGGGGTCACCACAACATGAGGAACTGTATTAAAGGGTCACGGCATTAGGAAGGTTGAGAACCACTGTGCTAGGTGATGATAAAAAGGGAAAAAGGAGAGGGTGAACCTCCCTAACGGGGGTACGAACAGCAATAAAGATGGACAGGGGTTCTAACTCATCTCTCTATCCAAAGAGAACACATTATTTGCCTTTAGTTATAATTTAATCTACCTTTTTCCCCAATTTTTTCCTCTAAATTAATTTTTAATGGAATGGTAATAAGTGTCGGATTGTCCCCGGGGCCCATAGCAACCAGTCAGAAGTCAATTGCCTTTATTGTGGCCGCACTCAATTGCTATAGACGGAGTGGAGGGGTTGCCATAGTGTGCAGCGCATCGCTGTCCCGCCACACTCGGTTATTTCATAAAGCCCTTATGACTCCTGCTGTGAAGATATTACTTCTTTGTGACTTTTGGTATCTACAGCAACGGATGAATCGGTCAGTGTCCCCTGCACAGAGAACAGAATCCAGATTCTTCTGAGTCTCTCCTCCCTCCCAGTCTTCCAGCCGCTGATCCTTCCCAGGGCGAGTCAAGAGACCAGAGCAGAAAATAAGAAACAACATCTTGTAGGCTGCATGCAAGTCATGCCATGCTAATGTCTACAGGCACGGCAACGAGGCACATGAGGACAAGCTCGACGGATACTGGAGGCAGGAAGAGTGGAAGTGGAATGCAGGACCAAAGCTGCGAGGTCTCATCCGAACGGTGACAGATTTGACATGGCGCTTTGGAACGGTCATTACGATTTTATTTATTATTTATTTCAGGTCCTTATATAGCGCCGTCAATTTATGCAACGCTTTACATATACAGTGAGGAACAGAAGTATTTGAACCCCCTGCGATTCTGCAAGTTCTCCCACTTAGAAATCATGGACAGGTCTGAAATTCACATTGTAGGTGCATTCCCACTCTGAGAGACAGAACTAAAAAAAAAAAAAAATCAGATAATCACATTGTATGATTTTTAAAGAATTTACTTGCCTTGCACTGCTGAACATAAGTATTTGAACACCTAAGAAACAGCAAGAATTCTGGCTCTCAAAGACCTGTTACTGGGCCTTTAAAAAGTCCACCTCTACTCCACTCATTAATCTAACTTAGTAGCACCTGTCTGAGCTCTTTAAAGACACCTGTCCACCCCACAGTCAGTCAGACGCCAACTACTACCATGGGCAAGACCAAAGAGCTGTCAAAAGACACCAGAGACAAAATTGTGGACCTCCACAAGGCTGGAAAGGGCTACGGGGCAATAACCAAGCAGCTTGGTGAAAATAGATCAACTGTTGGAGCAATTGTTAGAAAATGGAAGAGGCTAAAGACGACTGTCAGTCTCCTTCGGACTGGGGCTCCATGTAAGATCTCACCTCCTGGGGTATCACTGATGATAAGAAAGGTGAGGAATCAGCCCAGAACTACAAGGGAGGAGCTGGTCAATGACATGAAGAGAGCTGGGACCACAGTTTCAAAGGTCACTGTCGGTAGAACACTACGCCATCATGGTTTCAAAACATGCATTGCACGGAAGGTTCCCCTGCTCAAGTCATCACATGTCCAGGCCCGTCTGAAGTTTGCCAATGACCATCTGGATGATCCAGAGGAGGCATGGGAGAAAGTCATGTGGTCAGATGAGACCAAAGTAGAACTTTTTGGTCTAAACTTCACTCGTCGTGTTTGGAGGAACAAGAAGGATGAGTTGCATCCCAAGGACACCATCCCTACTGAGAAGCATGGGGGTGGTAACATCATTGCTTGGGGGTGCTTTTCTATGAAGGGGACAGGACGACTGCACTGTATTAAGGAGAAGATGAATGGGGCCATTTATTGTGAGATTTTGAGCAACAACCTCCTTCCCTCAGTCAGAGCATTGAAGATGGGTCGTGGCTGGGTTTTCCAACATGACAACGACCCGAAGCACACAGCCAGGATAACCAAGGAGCGGCTCCGTAAGAAGCATATCAAGGTTCTGGAGTGGCCTAGCCAGTCTCCAGACCTAAATCCAATAGAACATCTTTGGAGGGAGCTGAAACTCCATGTTGCTCAGCGACAGCCCTGAAACCTGACAGATCTAGAGGAGATCTGTGTGGAGGAGTGGGCCAAAATCCCTGTTGCAGTGTGTGCAAACCTGGTCAAGAACTACAGGAAACGTTTGACCTCTGTAATTGCAAACAAAGGCTTCTGTACCAAACATTAACACTGATTTTCTCAAGTGTTCAAATACTTATGTTCAGCAGTGCAAGACAAATAAATTCTTTAAAAATCATACAATGTGATTTCCTGAATTTTTTTTTTTTTTCTGTCTCAGAGTGGGAATGCACCTACAATGTGAATTTCAGACCCCTCCATGATTTCTAAGTGGGAGAACTTGCAAAATCGCAGGGTGTTCAAATACTTCTGTTCCTCACTGTATATTGTACGTTCACATCAGTCCCTAACCCTCAAGGGGAGTACATTCTAAGGTCTTTAACTCACATTCATATACAAGGGCCAATTTAGACAGGATCCAATTAACCTACCAGCATGTCTTTGGAGTGTGGAAGGAAACCGGAGTACCCGGAGGAAACCTACGCAGGCACAGGGAGAACATGCAAACTCCAGGCAGGTGGTGCCGTGGTTTTGGATTTGAACCAACGACCCTAGTACTGCCAGGCGGAAGTGCTAACCATTTAGCCACTGTGCTGCCCATTTTCTCAGCTATAGTGCTGCAGAAGAAGCAGTTTTCCTTTCAAAGATAGATGCCTACAGTCATGAGCAGTCACGTCAAAGCACATACAGGGGTGAAGATGTGCATGCAAGACGTCTGAAGATAGATATGTAATATTTTTTTTTTTTGTTCAATACATTTTTATCACAGTCATATTAGAAGTACAAAAAAAGTTTTTTTTTTTTTTTTTTGCATTGCGAAAATGTACAGATTTGACTGATTGCAGTAATCAATCATTTGAAACATTAAAGCGGAGTTCCACCCAAAAGGGGGAAGTTCCGCTTTAAAGATTGCTCCCCCGCTTCCCATTAAAGCGGAGCTCTACCCAAAAGGGAAAGTTCCGCTTTAAGGACTGCTCCCCCGCTCCCCATTAACGATTGGCACCTTTGAGGAGCAGGGGGGGGAGCGGGTACCTGAATTTGACAGGTACCCGCTCCCACTTCCAGTCCGATCACCTAGGCCAGGGGTAGGCAAATTGCGGCTCTCCAGCTGTTGTAGGACTACAAGTTCCATCATGCCTCTGCAAGTCATAGCTGTAACTGTCAGTTTTGTAATGTCAAAATGTAGTTCCACAACAGCTAGAGAGCCGCAGGTTGCCTACCCCTCGGAAATGGAAGGTGTCCTCCCTCCCTGTAGTCTTTTGGGACAAGTGACAGGTCCCAGAAGACTACAGGACCATTCATGAAGCGCAGCGGTACTCGCACATGCGCAGTCTGTACCCAGCTGAGAAGCCGCAAGCTATCACAGCCAGGTGCCCACACTGAAGATGCCGGCCTTCTGGAATACAGGACGGCCGGTGAAACGAGCTGCGGGGGACACACCGCGGGACTGAGGGACAGGTAAGTGGCTGTTTTTTAAAAGTCAGCAGCTACAGTTTTTGTAGCTGCTGACTTTTATTTTTTCACAGCGTGAGTGGAACTCCACTTTAACTGAGGTCCTCCAGTCCTCTTACTGGCTTTGTTGCCCTTCTCTGGACTCTTTCCAGCTTGCTTCAGCACATGCCTCTTGAATACTGGTGATGGCATACTCAAGATGTGGCCATCGAGTGGAACTTCCCTTTAAGGGGTGGTTTGTTAAAGCTTAAAGAAGAGCTCCAGCCAAAACGTCTTCTGACTTACTCACCTACCTAGTGAGGTAGTAGTATGTAGCCAAGGAAGTGATAACATCAGACTTATAGATACATCCCCATGGGACTTTACAGGCAAATACACAAAGTATATCCTGTCCTCGCTCACCATACTGTACTTTAAGGATTGGCACCTTTGGAGAGCGATGAAGGAACGGGTACCCGAATTTGACAGGTACCCGCTCCCACTTCCTCTGCGATCACCTAGGTGATCGGAAACGGAAGTTGTCCTCCTACCCTCCCTCCCCGAAGTCTTGTGGGACATGTGACAGGTCCCAGAAGACGACGGGGCCATTCATGAAGAGCAGCGCTACTCGCGCATGCGCAGTGGGCACCCGGCTGTGAAGCCGCAAGCTATCACAGCCGGGTACCCACACTGAAGATGCCGGCCTCCAGGAATACAGGACGCCAGGTGAAACGGGCTGCGGCGGGGGCAACGCGGGATCGTGGGGGACAGGTGAGTGGCTGTTTTTTAAAAGGCAGCAACAACAGTTTTTGCAGAATTAGATTGCATCTAAGCATCACAATCTGAACGTTATTTAATTCATTTTTAATATTCCAAGCAAAAACCCCCCCCCCCCCCCCCCCCCCCCCCGCTATCCATGTTTTCATGCTTTATTTTGCTGAGAAATTACTTTGAAAGACACCCCCCCAACTTTTCTGGTCATTGGCCATCTTGAGTAAGGGCAGATGATTCATGTACTTCCTGGAATCCATCTGCCCTTAGCTCAAGCATGCGGGCAGAAAGATGTGCTTAAGGGCTTGTTCACACTTGACTAATTTCTAATGCTTGCCAAACACCCCTATAGTGTTTGACAGGCGTTAGACAGGCGTTTGGGAAGCGTTTTTAACGCCCTATGTGCGTTTTTGAGGCGTTTGATAGGAATTTGCCAAGCATTAAAACTGCAGCACAAACGCCTATAATGAAGTTTAATGGTGTTTAATGGTGCAAATGCCTCGCAACCGCCTCGAAAGCGCCTGCCAGGAGATTGAGGAGCATCACCATAGACATGAATGAGAGGCTTCAAATCCTCCTGACATGAGGCATCAATTTTACCGCGACACGACACTAACGCTTTGGTGTGAACAGCACTGTGTGCTGCCATGTGTAGAATTTTTTCATAGGCGTTTGAGGAGCGTTAAAAAATGCTTCCAAAACGCCTGTCTAACACCTGCTAACAAAGCTAATGTGAACATAGCGTTACTGAGAAAACCCCTTCTTCCCTTCCTGAAGACTCCTGGGATGTAGGACATCATTTGCCTAGGTCTGGAAACCAGGACGTAACTGAAGAAATGTAAAAATAAAATTTAAAACAAGTAAATATGTTTATCCTCTCCTATCTACAGTACAGTAGTTCAGCTTTAAGATACTGCACATGAATTGTTTTTTTCTGGGATGTTAAATGAAGCTACATTTTGAAGTCTACCTTTTAAGCTTAGGAAAAATCATCTTTGGGTGTTATAGCATTCAAATTTAGTGATTTACATCCTCAGATATACACACAACAGCAACTTTTTTTTTTTTTTGTAGGTAAACCTGTTTAATTTCTTGGTAACACAAATTGCTAAACAAATCACATGGCAGCAACGCATTTAGGCATCTAGACGCAGTGAAGACAACTTGCTGAAGTTCAAACCGAGCATCGGAATGGGGAAGAAAGAAGATTCAAGTGACTTTGAACATGGCATGGTTGTTGGTGCCAGACGGGCTGGTCTGAGTATTTCAAAAACTGCTGGTCTGCTGGGATTTTCACACACAACCATCTCTAGAGTTTACAGAGAATGGTCTGAAAAGGAGAAAATATCCAGTAAGTGGCAGTTGTGTGGATGAAAATGCCTTGTTGATGTCAGAGGAGAATGGGCAGACTGGTTCGAGATGATAGTAAGACCACAGTAACTCAAATAACCACGTTACAACCAAAGTATGCAGAATACCATCTCTCTAAATGCACAACACATTGAACCTTGAAGCAGATGGGCTACAGCAGCACAAGACCACACCGGGTGCCACTCCTGTCAGCTAAGAACAGGAAACGGAGCCTACAATTGGCACAGGCTCACCAAAATAGGACAACAGAAGATTGGAAAAATGTTGCCTGGTCTGATGAGTCTCAACTCACTAATGACCTACTAACTGCTAAAAACCAACAGCCATTTCTCCATACTCATACTCCTTGACCTTTCTGCTGCCTTTGACACAGTCGACCACCCGCTCCTCCTCAGTAAACTCCACTCCATCGGCCTCCGTGACTCTGCTCTCTCCTGGTTCTCCTCTTACCTTTCTCAGCACACTTTCAGTGTCACATACAACTCCTCCTCCTCCGCTCCTCTTCCCCTTTCTGTTGGGGTACCCCAAGGTTCTGTTCTTGGGCCCCTCCGTTTCTCTCTCTATACCTCCTCCCTGGGCCAACTGATAACCTCCCATGGCTTCCAATACCACCTCTATGCTGATGACACCCAGATCTATCTCTCCACTCCCCAGCTCACCCCTTCAATCTCCTCACGTATCACAAATCTACTAAGCGACATATCAGCATGGATGTCACATCACTACCTCAAACTCAATCTTTCCAAAACCGCGCTTGTAATATTTCCCTCCTCCCCGGCCCCCCCACTCACGACTTTACCATTAAGATCAACAGCACAACCATTGGTCCTTCCCCCTCATGCCAGGGTGCTAGGCGTAATCCTAGACTCTGATCTCTCCTTTGGGCCCCACATCCACTCACTGGCTAAATCCTGCTGCCTCAACCTCCGCAACATTTCCAAAATCTGCCCCTTCCTGACCAATGACACCATGCCTTGGTTATATCCCACCTTGATTACTGCAACTCCCTCCTCACTGGTGTACCATTACACAGGCTATCCCCCCTTCAGTCTATTATGAATGCTGCTGCTAGACTCATACACCTTATCAACCGATCAGCGACTGCTGCCCCTCTCTGCCAATCCCTTCACTGGCTTCCAATAACCCAACGTATAAAATTCAAAATACTAACCACAGCTTACAAAGCCATCCACAACACTGCCCCTAGCTACATCACCGACCTCATCCACAGATACCGCCCAAAGCGCCCACTCCCGCTCCTCCCCCATGACATCCTCCTCTCTAGCTCCCTCATCACCTCCTCCCACGCTCGCCTCCAGGACTTCTCCAGAGCCTCTCCCATCTTCTGGAACTCCCTACCACAGCATGTCCGGTCAGCCCCCACCCTGTTTGCCTTTAGGCGATCTTTGAAAACGCACTTCTTCAGGGAAGCCTACCCCACCTCTACCTAAGAACTGTACTTGAATCACCTCCACCAGATCATCCCCCGCAGCTAGCACCTTTTGTATCACCTCCCCCTTCCTTTAGATTGTAAGCTCCACAAGCAGGGCCCTCCTATTCTTTCTGTACTGAAATGTATTGTAATAGTACTGTCTCCCTTATATTGTAAAGCGCTGCGCAAACTGTTGGCGCTATATAAATCCTGTATAATAATAATAATTTCAGCTGTGACATTCAGATGGTAGGGTCAGAATTTGGTGTAAACAACATGAAAGTAAGGATGCATCTTGTTTTGTATCAATGGTTCAGGCTGGTGGTGTAATGGTGTAGGGAATATTTTCTTGGCACACTTTGGGCCCCTTGGTACCAATTGAGCATTGTTTAAAACGCCACAGCCTGAGTATTGTTGATGACCATGTCCATCCCTTTATGGCTACAGTGTCCCCATCTTCTGATGGATTCTTCCAGCAGGATAATGCACCATATCACAAAGCTCAAATCATCTCAAACTGCTTTCTTGAACATGACATGACACTGTACTCCATTGGCCTCCACAGTCACAAGATTGCAATCCAATAGAGCACCTTTGGGATGTGGTGGAATGGAAGATTCACATCATGGATGAGCAGCCGACAAATCTTCACCAACTGTGTGATGCCATCATGTCAATATGGAACAAAATCTCAGAGGAATGTTTCCAACACCTTGTTGAATCTATGCCATGATTAAGGCAGTTCTGAAGGCAAAAGGGGCTCCAACCCGCACTAGCAAGGTATACCTAATAAAGTGGCCAATGAGCATGTAGAGCGCAAAACCCTTGGGTACATTATTATGCAAATGCCAACTTCAAGCTGGAGGTAAGCTCTTTGACTTACCCCCATACATTCACTATTGGTCAGTAAGTATGTCCAGCACACTGAGGTGGCCAGTGGTGTCCACCAAATACATAACCATGCACAGCTCGGCCAAAAGTGCCCACCAAATACATAACCATAAGAACAATACGCATATAAAAAAAAAAGTCTAACAATTTTATCTCTATGACCCACTTATAACTGCCTGTTCTTTTGTAGAAGCCATTGAGAAACGTCACGATTTCCTCTATGGTCTCGTAATTCATGGTTTCATTCAGTCGCTCACTCATTATTCAGATTGCCGAATTATATGTAGATGAAGGACTCTGAAAATGTATGAATGGAAGAAGATGAAAGGGGAGGGGAGAAAAAGGAACAATGAGGGGAAGACACACTGCAGATGACATGCAGCCGCTGAGTAGAAAATGGAAGGGAAAAATGTTTCTCTAAACCAGAGACACTCAAAAAGCTTCAGACTGGGAATAAAATGCTGCTTTGGCAGGCAGAGCCACTTGAATTCACATTTATGTGTTTTCATAGGCAAGAAATGGTTAGGCCACCGCTTCTGGCCTAAGATGAGTAGGGGTTGTTTCAGCTGACTTGGCCACAAATCCATTCAACCATTACAGACTGAGCAGAGCCAAGACCTACCACTAACAGTCAGGAAAGTTTTGTCAGCGTTCTAGCTGCTGTTACTCCAATGTGAATATAGCAAACATTTTACTTGCAAACAATCATGAACAACTGATCCATCAATTTAATTATAACATACATCGCACGGCTCAAACGTGACCCATTTGAATACATTTATCAAAACTGCCCCTACCACTAAAAAGTGTTGTGGCGCTCTAAATTTTTGTATACACCATAGACTTTTCCTGGGGCTCAAAACTCTGACTTCATCAGGGAAGGGAGCTGATTGGGTTTCTCCATCAAGAGGGAGTTTTGAGCCCCCAGAATTTGTATCATAAAGACTGGTTTTGAAGAGAGATGGAGGGTGGCGATAGCAGAAACAGTGTAACAAACCAACCTTTCTCAACCTTCTCAACACAAAGGAACTCTTGAAAAAAACTTGCTGGTGTCACGGAACCCCTGCTAAAAATGACTATATCTACAACTCATGATACATTAGTGTGATGGTTAGTGGGAAGAATGCTCCTTACACTTGAGACCATTGGGAAGAATTGTCCCCTTGCAGATAGCTGAAATGATCAATGGTGTCAGTGGGAACTTGGCCAAGAGGCAGATTTTGCTCAAGGAACCC